AAAATTGATTTCCAAAGAATTATTATACATGCTTTACTATTCTCACAGATTTAAACGCAATCTGTGTAATTTATTTTTTGACCTGTGATGTCGTCTTCGCTGGAATGACCCATAATACAATATAAATGAGATTTTTGGGACTGTTTGAATTGAACTAATACGCCAATATCAGTATTGAATGTTATGTTATGTTTTTGTTATATTTTCTGCTGGCTTATTCAATTGTTTCTTACTAGTTTTAGGACCGAGTTGCGTCCCACCTGTAACCCTCCCGCGACCCACCACTTGGGATGGGACCAATTAGGTTAGGTTAATATCGCCGTCGTTGAGCCGCACATAGATCGGTAGGTCCTTAGCGTTTCCAGTTGGAGCTCCTTTTTATGCGTTAAAGTAGACATCACAAAGGATGTCAATGCTTTTTTCGAAGTTAAATAGAAATTTCAGCCCTAGTTTTCCTTTAACTTCTCGAATTGGTAGGCTCACAAGCATTTTAGTCCGGTTTTTGACACTGCTGTGAACTGCCTAATCATATTATCGTCTATTTCGCCGTACAAGTGTTGAAGTGATCTACGAATGTAGATTGTCTGTTCGAGAACAGACTGATGGCGTTCTTGGCAATCTCATCTGCTATTTCCTAGAATATCAGGGTATTGCTATCCGGTCCGGCGATGTCGAACTCGAAATATTTAAAGTTTATATATCTCCTGTCACCAGCTGCCCGGCAAGATATCACCCTGTAATAGATGCGCTTCTCAGAGGTGAAAACCGTATGGTATTCGGTGACTTTTACCCGGAAAATGGGGACGAGAATACCACTGCTCAAACCGGGGAAACCGGCCAGCATTATCTTATAGTCCGATAACTCTCCTTTTCCAGGGAGCGAAGACAGTAGAGGCATTGCTACTCGCGCATTACCTGAGCCACCTGACCCCAACGAGGCATTAGAATGGGTTCCGTAAAGTGCACTGCACTTAACGCCATAAACACTCAGTTAACACGTGGTCCAAACCGTAACCGACCCTGTGGGAGAACAGTCCTAGTACTGTTGGATTTGTCAAAGGCGTTTGACACCGTCAGTCCACGCTACTAGAACACATTGAGGCTTCCTCTCTCCCACGGAGACTCAAACGGTGGTCGGCGAATTATTTGAGTGATCGACGCTCATCAGCAATTTTTAGAGACAAAACAAGCAGGCTAAGGAAAATTAAACTGGGGGTCCCACAGGGTGGTGTCTTTTTCCACTACTGTTTAATTATTACATTTAAAAGCTTCCTCAACCACCAGAGGGAGTCTCGCTGGTCTCTTATGCTGACGACTGCTGGATAATGGCGTCTGGGAATGTAACTGATGACTTGTGCTCGAAAGTAAGCGGTTACCTCTCTGAACTTTCTCGCTTCTTCACTTCAATGAGCCTAACCCTCTCCCCTACAAAATCCTTGGAACCCATTTTACCACCTAGACGAAGGAGGTCAGACTGCAGCTGGGCATTCACGTCGATGATGAATAACCCGAAAACCTTTGGAGTTAGCTTCGACAGTATGCTCTCCTTCTCGGCGCTTACAAATAAGCAACAATGTCCTCTAGTCGCTACCTGCGGCACCTGTGGCAAAGACAAAGAAACGTTATTGGCAACATACAAGGCAATTGGCCGGCCTTTTCTTAACTATGCCGCGCCTGTCTGGTCGCCCGGGATTAGTAGAACGCAGTGGAGGAAGCTACAGACTTGCCAAAACGTGGCACTTCGGACAGCGACCGGATGCATTCTGATGTCGCCACAACATCAACTGCACGGCAAGGCTCAAATGGTCCCCGTGTCACCGACGTGGGCACCCGAACAGACACTTGGTTTCGGCGAACGAAGTCCAGTGGTTAATAAAACAACTTTTGGACTTGGCAGCATACCGACAGGTCATAAACGGCATTCACAGGGAGTCAGTGTTGATTTCCACAGACTCTGTAGCCGCTACAACAACAAAGCGTATTAAATATGTATATACATATGTATACGTTTTTAGTTTATCAAAGGAATAATAACAATTTCATGCAGGGCATTTTTCGATTATCTCTAAAGGGCGTTGTTCACATCAATTATCCGTGGTAAATAAGTATAAGAAAACATCCATCTTTACAAAAAATTTGGATTTGGTAACCGGTCCTAAAAACCCGGGTTTTTCAAAATTGGTAGCCTTTACAAAAAAAAACCGATTTGATTTTTTAAATCACCATGAAACAGAGATCGAAGTAACCCTCTCCACTTATTATTTTATGGTGTTTATCACTGACACAAACACAAACCTCTCAAGCAAAATGTGTTTCTCACCGTTCCAAATCTCTCTGTGCGATCCTTATGTGTTTTCTGCTGTGGGTTATTTATAAGCTGCTTAAATTTGCATTAGGCAAAGACACTTTGGCAGGGGATTTTCGGAATCTTCGGGACTATATCGGGATCTTACAAAGTAGTCCCGAAAATCCCGAAATAGTCCCGAAGAAGTAGTCTCGAAATAGTCTAAAAATCCCGAAGTAGTCCCGAATATTCCAACAATCTAAACGAAGTCTCGAAAATCCTGATATAGGCCCGAGAATCTTGAAAAATCTCGAAGTAGTATCGAAAAAAACCAAATAGTTCCGATGTAGTCCAGAGAATCCCGAAGAAGTATCGAAAATCCCGAAGATTTTCGTAGAACTGGAAGTTGGAAGATACTTTAATATCTTATTTGCGTTGCACGAAAAAAGTATTATTTAGTTGAAAAGTCACAAATCGAGTTGATTCGCTCTACAAATCAAATCACAAATAAATTTAATTTTTTATTTGGTCAACAAACCAAATCAAAAATCAAATATATTTCTTAATTGATAGCGGATTTTAAATCAAAAAGAATTTGAAATCACGCAACCCGGCCACCGCATGACCGTGACGTTGACGTTGCTCTCTCTATCAACAGTAAATTTGATATGTTTCTACGCACTTCTACGGTACGCTACGTACACGCTCGTGGGTAACCGCGCTCTAACATATGTTTTCTCTCCCAGCGATAAGTTTCCGAGACCAACAGAAACGGAAATTATATGCAAATAACCCTTTCCCACTGAGCGAGAGCACACATCTAAAAAAAAATCGCCAGTTCTCTTTTGTGGGTTATTCTCTTCTCTTAAATAGTAACAGTTATTTGGGGACACTTTCAAAGTGCAGAGGGTTGTTTTCGACTTCTGCCGTGAAGTAATCCTTGTAGGAGTAAAGTTTCATTCACCAATTCAACAAATTACGACCACTTGCGTAATTCTACATTTATCCATTTGTGCGTCCATGCTAGTAGAAGTAGTTTAATTAATTGAAAATATTTCCTGTCAAATTGAGAGATACAACATTTTCTTATTTTGATTAAACTAGTTTTCTGAACAGCATGGTGCCATTTTTATCCTGGAGTTCATGGAGTTTTTTCCACCTTAAGTGCTTTATTGACTGTACTAATTTTTCTATACGAACTTGCACATATTGAAATCTCAAAATGATTCAAATCCAACTGATAAAATTTTTCTGTGAAATTACATCGAAGTGATTTTTAAAAAATCTTAAGAAAATGCATAACTTCCTAAACTGTCTATTGATTTTTATAAATGATACCTAGTTTAACTAGGAAATGAACATTATTTTTGAAGTAATGACTGACTGTAGAGACTATTTTGTTTTGAAATTTTGGAAAAAAATGTTGTCAAGTGGGAAAAATAATAAAAATTTGTGTAAACTTCTGAATTATTCCAAAAAATTTCCACATTTACAATGTGCTCACAACACTTATTATTTCTTTAAATAGTACAAATATTCTTCGTTCCAAATCCATAATAATAATTATAGATTGGCGCTTACACATATGTTAGTGTTTGGCCGAGCTTTTCCTCCGATTTGTGGCGTGCNAGGGACCTACAGTTTTACGCCGACTCCGAACGGCGATTGTATTTTTATGAGAAGCTGTTTTTCATGGCAGAAATACACTCGGAGGTTTGCCATTGCATGCCGAGGGACGACCGCTGTTAAGAAAAAACCTTTTTTCTATATTTTTGCGATGTTGCTTTGACCAGGGTTTGAATCCTGCGGCTGCGGAGTGGAAGCGAGCACTGCTTACCACTACACCACTGCGGCCGACCCAAATCCATACCAAACTTAAAATTCGGTAAAAAATAACTGAGCCTAAAATTGTTTAGTGCGGGAAGTCATGTAAAAATGTTCTTTTTTTAAGAATAAGTTGAGAATTTTGGGGTGTTACGAAAATTTTGAAAACAGTTCCGTGAATTACTCAACAAGCTCTACGGCCTGCACTAGCTCACTTAAAAAGCTCATGATCATTGTAATACCGTTTAATAGTAATAGTAATAGTTTTGTTCACCATAATTAGCAAGTGACCTAGCTCAAACCCACAAATGTTGTCAAAGTTGTTGCTTGAGCTAATCAGCTCTTCTGCTAAATACCCCTAATATTTTGGCGCTTACACTTTTGCTAAGAAGCTTTATCTTGGCAGAAATACAATCGGAGGTTTGTCATTGCCTACCGAGGGGCGACTGCTGTTGGAATATTTTTAATTTAGATGTTGGTTGGACCGGGGATCGAACCCAGGTCATGCGGAATGCTAGTACGTACCTCTAACTACTCACCCACAGTGGCCGTTACATGATTGCACGTCATAAAAAAGGCCACGATCAAGTAAAAAGAAAAAAATTTGAATATGTATTTGTACAAATGATGGAAAGTTCGATTTAAACGTTTTTATCTTGAGTTTGCCAATTCTTAGAGTAGAGCTCACACCAGCATTTTCAGGTGTTATGCGCTTTTTAGGCTTTCAGCGCTTAATTCAATGAAAAATATCACTGGCCCAAAAAGGCACTAAGAACTTTGACGGGAGGTTTATTTTCTAAGTTATGTTGAAAACTATTCTGATTCCTTCAATTTACCATTCAGCAGTGTTAAGCTTGTTTCCTTAATTTATAAATGAATTTAATTCTTCCAGATCCACATACGATTATTGATGTTCTTGATATTCCAGTAAATGCAGTAGCAACGGCGTTGAAAGACTTTTTTTCGAAGCGGTTGCCCCCGTTGTTTAGCAAAGATATAATCAAGGAGCTTGAAGATATTGCAGGTAAAAATGTACATTCTCATTAGTATAAGTATGTATATTTATTAGACTGCATCCCTCCCCATACAAAAAAAAAATCGATACTATTTTTCCATTGATGCTTTCCATTTCCAGACAACCGGTCAGATACGAGCATGATTTCGACCAAACTCAAATACATTGTTTGTTGGTCCAAATAATGAGACACGTATTTTTTCTTTTGGCTCGGAAAAAATTTTCGGCCGAATTAAACGCGATTTTGTTTTTCAGGCAAAAATCGATTATTCGAATTGACAGTGAGAATTTTTTTTTTTAAATGCCCATAACTTTATCAAAATTTAATAGATTCCAACAATGTTTTTACACAAATGTCAGAATTCTTGAATTGAAATACAAAATCACATTTTCCCGCTTTTTATAATCGAAACTGTATGGTGGAAAGTATGTTCTAATATCTATTTGATACACAAAAAATGATCACGGCTGTACTTTTTGCTGATATATTACATACATATGTTCCATTTAGTTAAACAATATAAGAATATTGTAGTATGTACCACAAAAACGTATATTTTCTATAAAAAATCATCTCAGAAAAAAAAATCTTCGCTATTAGAGATTTGGGTTGATTGTAGTTTAAAGTGTCTCTTTCCCGGTAAAAAAGTTTGAGACAAAAAAAAAATACACTTTTTGAGAAATTAAATAAAAAAAAAAAATTGCACTTTTTGTTTATTGTTTAATAAAGAATTTTAAATAATGAAAATCAATAATTATGTCATTCTATCTTAAAGTGACAAGAATTACTGACATTTTAGTAAAAACTTTGTTGGAATCTATTAAATTTTGACAAAGTTATGGGCATTAAAAAAAAAATCTCACTGTCAATTCGAATAATCGATTTTTGCCTGAAAAACAAAATCGCGTTTAATTCGGCCGAAAAATTTTTCCGAGCCAAAAGAAAAAATACGTGTCTCATTATTTGGACCAACAAACAATGTATTTGAGTTTGGTCGAAATTAAAAATCATGCTCGTACCTGACCGGTTGTCTGGAAATGGAAAGCGTCCATTGGAATTATAAAATCTATTAAAGAAGTCCACCAAAATATTTCGAAAAATTTCAAAATACCTCCAAAAATGGAGTTTTTTATGAATAAAAATAGTTTCTTAAATTTTTTTTTTAAAAAATCTTTTCAAATGATAAAACGGTTTAAGCTTAAAAAATTTGCATACAAATATTTAAAAAAAAATTTAAAGAAAATTTGAACGGAATCGTAATGATGAGATTTTTGATGCTGTTTTTTAACTTTTTTCAAAGATTGGTATAAGAAAAACTTGAATAACTGAGCCTAAACTCTTCTGATTTAGACTTAAAAGGTGTCGGTAGAAAAGTATTTTCTCACCCTTTTAATTTCTTTGCTAATAAACTCATTCAAAGGATGAAAGAGAAAGGTAGAATGAACGAACGTCATTCAAAGTTGAATTAAGATGTGTTGGTATTTGAAAAAAAAAAAAATTGCGACACGAATGATATTTTTTTGGACAGAAAAAAAACAGTGTGAAAATACCTTTCTACCGAGATCCCATAAGTCTTAAATCAGAATAGTTTTGGCCCAGTTATTCAAGTTTTTCGTAAATCAATCTTTGAAAAAAGTAAAAAAACAGCATCAGAAATCTCATTCTTACGATTCCGTTGAAAAGATTTTAAAATATTTTTATGCTGTTTTTTTAAGCTTACTTACTCTTTTTTTTGTCATCTGAGGGGAGTTTTTTCAAAAAGTTCTTTACAAAACTATTTTTATTCATAAAACACTCCATTTTTGGAGGTATTTTCAAATCGGTCCAGCTCACTTACATCTTAATATTTTTCCCAAATATTTTGGTGAAGGTCTTCAAATATAATAAACTTTGTAATCCCGCCGGAAAAACCGCAACTTTTTTTGGTGATGCAGTCTAATATTTATATTTTCTTTTCTTTAAAGGTTCACGAGGCATTGGCTCATCTAAAGTTAATGTAGAAGTAAAAACTGATAGAAGCTGCCGATTGATATTACTGAAGACTTTATTACAGAAATTACCGCCCATGAATTTTTTGATCCTAAAGTACATTTTCGAACATTTCGTTCAGTAAGTTTGGTGGAACGACAATACCCTGTGTGGCATACCATTTTAAATATTTCTGTTATATTTTCATTACAGTGTATCTGAGAATTCCAAATTAAACAGCATGGATAGTAAAAATTTGGCTATTTGCTGGTGGCCAACACTGATTCCTATTGACTTCACGGATATGAGCCATTTTGAACAATTGCGGCCATATTTAGAAGACATTGTGCAGACGATGATTGACCAATTTCCCTATTTGTTTTGCGGAAAAGATGCTTTTGTTATGGTTTAAATACTCGTACATTCTAGTAATTGTAAAAGCTTAATTTTAGATGTTATTATGTGGAAGAATATAAGGAAACTGTGTTTTAATGGCTTTGTTGTGTGAAGTGACGTTTAATTAAGAATATTCGAATATGTGTCTAAAATAATAATTTATATTATGTGTTAAATTATATTTAAGCTATAAATGTTTTAAATGTCTTGTGTGTATGTTTAACGAGTTGTGTAGTGATATCTATGCCATGTGTATGTATGCTTATATATATTTTTTAAATTGAATGTATTATTATTGTAGATGTTGTTCTATGAATTGAACTAAATTTAACTTTATCAAATAAACCCTTCTAAAAAATAAAACTAACAATTGTGAATGAAAGAATTGGAATGCATTCAAATACCTACATACATATATACTTACACAAATAGGACAAGTAAAATAAGAACGATAATGGAAAGATTTGTATAAATGTGTGTCTATTTCATGATAAACCTTATATGTAAAATAATAATGCATTCGTAAACAGCGCGATTTGATGTAATTATATTTTTTAAAATTATGATATTACGTGAATCCATACGGATACCCGTCATAATCAAAAGCACAAACATGAAAATAAAATAATTCCAAACAAAGCAAATGAACATTTGTATTATTTCTCTTCTGTATTGTAGGGACCTACATTATCTTGTCAGTACAAGAATCTCATAAAAACGAAGCCACATAATTTAAAACATTGTAACTCTTTCATATCATTTCTTAAATGTAATTATGTATTCTCTAGTACAAAACTAAGCTCTTGTGCATTCTCGAGCCGATTTCTTGAATATACCTGCAAATTAATTATCCGATTTGAGCCTCACGAGCTGTAAGCATATGGACTACGGAGCAAATTGTTTATTTATTCAGCCCTATTCTGCATTTCGACTCGAATCGAAATTTTCTCCGTTTGGCAACTTTGGTATTCTGCGTTCCGTTTCCTTTCGATCAATCTTCGAAATTTACGATTATACCTATTCTACATTTCAATCGTAGTTCCGTTTTTCTAAGTTGCAAATTTGATGACGGAGAACGTTTCGATTGTTATTTTCGTGGGTTTAAATAATACAATTTTATTTAAAAAAAATTAAGTAAAATATACTGTGCATGATTGTAAAAGCCATCATAAATGAATTTTCTCGATTTCTGTGTTTTCGCGACCGGTAATACGGGCAATACGAAAAATTTGCGCAAATAATGGCAAACAAAAGGGATATTGCGTGAGGTTTTCAAAGAGGAAGTCCAGGCGTTTTTGTTTTCATTATCTATAAATAAGACTAAGAAATGCACTGCCCAGTAGAACTTGGGAGCATCGTACGATTGCTTGTTGATTATTCCCTTGCGAGTTTACGATTACTCCCCATTACTCCCCATACTTCTGTGTATAAGCGTGTTATTTTGTATGATCCCTTTAACACGGAATGTCCTAGGGGGTCGAGTATTCCCTTTGACCTCCTAAATGAGCGATCAGAGAGTACAGAAAGAAATATCCCAGAAACCCCCAAGAAGGCAACGAGGGAGGGCACATAGAAAAACATCCTATATCCCTCCCGGAAGACCAATAAAGGAGTACTCCCATCAGAGTCCTCCCACAAACATCCTGTAAGAGTAAAATATAGCGTTTCTATTCTCCTATATTCCTCCTCATGGAGCTTCAATACAAGCGATTTACATAAAAATATTTTGCTGACATACGTAGCATTTATTAATTCTTTTTATCACATACTTACATGCACATATACATATGTATATACGCTAATATGACATCTTACACTAGTAAACAGGTAAAACGGATGTACATAAATAATGCTTATTGAATAATTATATAGAAAAATTATATGAACGTTGAACAATATAAAATTATTGTGACGACAATGCTTCCCTGGAGAGTGTTTGATTTGTATTCACCTCATTCTCAGACAGGAATTTTATGCAGACTTATGTATGTAAGTGTCGGTAGGCGGTTCGTTTAATTCGTTTTTGCTCGTACCCAACGCGACACTTCAAGCAATTTACCAGCCCTTATATGTAAAGGTCACTCTTTTCTTCCGATACCCATTAAAAGTTCTGGACGCGAAAATATATGAAAGCGCAATCTGAAATGCATTTTAAGTTAAGTAATGCAACCATTAATAAGCTGATGCAAATATTGTCATACATACCGACGAGTTGTTGTTGTTGTTGTTGTTGTAACAGCATACAAACTCCCCAAAGACTTTTGGGGAGTGTTGCTGGAGTGACAGTCCTTGGCCAGATATAAATCTGGGTCGTTCCGGTTACGTAGACCCGACGAGTCTTAACTTTGGCTGTCCCATTTAATTGATTGCGTCCTGCTTTTCTTTTTTCAATAAGAAATATTATGTTTTGTTTTCATGATAAATTTTTCCAATAACACAATAACACAAAATTTCTGGGAGTGTTCGTTTGTTGCTCGTTTAGGAGATCTCCGATTTAACTCCTAAGCGAGTTATAAAGGAGGTCAAAACGGACAAATCTCTCCTATTGCTCCGAAATCAGGCCAAAGGGATTACTCTTTAATTCCTCACATTGGGAGATCTCCCTTCAAGTTCTAGTGGGTGAATACAATTTATTCTTTTTGTATCTATGTATATATATAAAACAAAGTCGTGTTAGTTACACCATTTATAACTCAAGAACGGCTGGACCGATTTTTTTGATATGTGTTTTTTGAAATTTTCTACCTTCCGAATAGCAGAATAACTATTAAAACAACCGCTAGGTGGCGCTGAAGTCGAGTTATTAGTAAAACCCGTATTTATGGTCCGATTCGCCTCATATTTGAGATATGTATTGACAATAGGAAAAACAATACCATTGCAAAAAAACCCGCCAGGTGGCGTTGGAGTCGAGTTATTACTAAAAATCGCGTTTATGGTTCGATTATCCTCAGATTCAAAATATGTATTGATAACAGGAAAAATAATTCTTTCGAAAAAAATTTACCGCCAGGTGGCGCTGAAATTTAGTTACATAGGCGATTCATGTAAAATGTCCCAAGCGCGCTGAGCGGTGCAAAACAAGCTTGTTTTCGAATAGCTGAAAAGACAGAAAATAGGAAAAATAATTCAAAAACCATGATTTACATATATAGATTTTTGTACGGGCTATCCGATGGTGCTATGCGTTTTCCAAAATTTTCCCATTTTCACGGTGAAATTTTATTTGTAATTTTTCTCAATTATGGTCATTTTTAATATTGTTTTAAGTCATCTCAATCGAAAGATCAGGTCTTTTTACATATAAATCATTAATAAAACAAGTAATTTTTAGCAAAAAAAAAACCGACTTCAGCTCTCATATAAAAAAAATATATATATATATATCTCATGATCCGATCTAAGTATGGGACCACCTACTACCTTTCCGATGCAAAAAGAATTATCGAAATCGGTTGACGTGGTCCAAAGTTATGCGGTAACATACATAAAAAAAAAATAAAAATCCGACGAACTGATAACCTCTTCCTTTTTTTGGAAGTCGGTTAAAAAAGGTACTTTTTTGATTTCTCCGAGCTATAAAGCGTTTTATAGCGGGCTATACCAGTCGCCACGCTCCGTCGCGTCACGTCGACTCCGTTCGTTTGAACGAATTAAAACATCATACTGTGATAGGAAATTTTTACAAAATTATTATTTAAACACGCTATATCTCAGACGTTTGTGTATCGATCGATTTGAAATTTTCACACAATGAACTAAAAACTATTCCAAAGAATTTAAGTTTAAAAAAACTTCTTAATACTTATTAAAAACAAAATGCCGGTTTTTAGAACTTTTTTATAAAAATAAATGGGACGGTTTTATTCTAATTAAAAATGTGTGTAATAAAGCAAGGAATGAAACCGATTCAAAATAACGTTCCGGTTTGGGTTGCGGTTTTGCCAAGTGTTTCGGTTTTGGTTTCGGTTTCGTTCCGGTTTCGGTTTTTCACAGAAATTTTGTTGATATTATTTAAATCACAATGTCTTAAACGTTGAGGAAAGAAAATCGAAAATTACAGTTCACTGATAATATCAACACTAGGTTCTTTCCCTAACAATCCGGACCGGATTTGGTAATTAGAGAATAAGAGAAACATTTTCTTTCAAAAATGGAACAAAGTTCAGAAGTACGGAAACGCAAAAACCCACATTTCGTGCCCACAAGTCGAGAAACAGCTGATTCACGTTGTTCTTGTTTTTGTCACTTATACCATGTTCTGACCGACATCGGAAACATGTTTTCGTTGCTAAAACTGGTTTTCGACCTAAAACTTGTGTTTTCGTCCATATAAAATCTGTTAAACGAAAACCAGTTGTCGCTGAAAACTACTTGAAAACTCACTTTCCACTCATTCCAATCGGTGTCTTCACTAGTTTTTTTCGATTATTTATCGAAGTGGAAGTCATATTTTATCATCTTTAATACGCCATTTCGGATTTATTGTTAATTGCCTGGCCAAAGCAAAATAAGAATGAAAGTTAAAGGTTGTAAATGAAAAGAAAATGAAGGAAAAATGTTTTGGTTGTCGGTCAGAACATGGTATTAAATGCAAACACTTGGAAATTGAATTTTGGTTTCACAAATTTGATTTTAAGTACATAGATTGAAAATACATCAACAGGCCATTCAATTTTCCTTAAAAGCACCAAGTAAATGCAGGCAACATGTAAACACAATACAGCTGATATGCACTTTGACACTTTATCCATTTTTACTCGTAGAAAATTTCGGGCTGTTTCGGGCAGGAAGAAGAATACACTTACGATCGAATACGCTCGAATTTTCGCTCTCTATTACCCATTTTGTTGAGTACAGGCATGATTTCTGGGCTATTTTGGGCACACGCGGGATCTCGCATTGCGTACGGGAAAGAAACTACTTAAATATAATTAATCGATTATCGATTCACAACAACAAAGTCATCAGCAGATTTTTGCGAAAAGTTACCTTGCCATACTTATTTACTACTTAACAAGAATTTTAGCAAAATGTTGCTGATTTTGGTTAAATAAATCATTTATTTCAAAGAAATTTTTATTTATTATTTTTGTAAATTTCTGGAAACCGATTGAAACCTGTGATTGAAATGGTTTCGGTATCGTTCCTTTTCAGGTCAAGATAACGGTTACGGTTTCGGTTTCGGTTTTGAAAAACGAAACGGTTTTAAACGGTTACGGTTTCGGTTTGGGTTTCGGTTTCATTCCTTGGTTATAAGGCCACATAAAATCCATTGTTTTTGTAGCTTTGAACCGCTGCATTGTACCCAGTGTTTTTCTTGACGGCAGTGTATTTGTGTGCACGCAACTAACGCAATTTCAACAACTTGGAATCCAGAGCTTTTGTTAAATTGGGCGTATTTGTGTACACGGAACTGCTAGCGATTTGTGTGGTGTTTTAACTCGGAGTTTTTGGCTCCATATTCAGGTAGGAATGCAAATCTTGGATTTTACAAATTGCTAAAATATAACGCCTTCTTTTTCCAGATTTGAACCCAGTGCTTTTGTAGCAGTGAACAGCTGCATTATACCTAGTGTTTTTCTTGACGGCAGCTTAAGCATCAACTTGGAATCCAGGCCTTTTGTTAAATCCGGCGTATTTG